GGACTGATGCTGAAGCTGAAACTCCAATACTTTGGCCACCTCATGCGAAGAGTTGACTCATTGGAAAAGACCCTGATGCTGGGAGGGACTGGGGGCAGGAGAAGGGGACGACAGAGGATGAGATGGCTAGATGGTGTCACCGACTTGATGGACATGAATTTGAGTAAACTCCGGGAGTTGGTGATGGACAGGGAGGCCTGGCATGCTGTCACAAAGAGTCGGACACGCCTGAGCGACTGAACTGATGGTAGTTAAGTTTGCAAGGCAAGGTACTAGAGGAAGAAAACTATACAGACAAGGACCTCTAGAAAATTTCACAAAGTCCTACACTGTCTGTGAAATGGTATAGGAACAAAAAAGAATTTTTAAAAGTGTAAATTAAGTCTGTAGATAAATTCAAATAGAGTTCTTAAAAAAAAAGTGCATTTGATTTGTCCCTTGCTTTATCCTTTAGCTAACTTTCAGATTCATCTCTCTCAAACTTTCCGTGCCAGAGTCAGATAGTCCCTTCTTTAATGTCCTAAAGCACATTTTATAATCTTTCCTAATCCCTCTATAATGCTGCATTGTGCACTGCATGTGATCATTTATGCAAATGCTTGTTTTTCTCACTATGCTGTGGGCTCATCCATCTCTGCATCCCCAGAAGTCAGTGGATAGAACAAATGAATGATGGATAGGTGGATGGAAGGGTAGATGAAAAATTTTCTGCCCACTCTTGCCACAATGGTCAGAACCAAAAAGAGTAAAAAATAAAAGGAGACAGATTTAGAATCCTCTCCAAAAGAAGGAGCAATAGTTAATATGACCTGGATAGCTCTCAGTATTAGCAAACTTAGGAAATTCAAGTTCGTGCCAGATAAATCCTTGGCTTGCTGAATATATTTTTATCTAAATAATTTATGAAATTACTTATAAACTGTTTTTATTTTATATATATTTTATTTTTAGCATTCCATATTCATATAAAAATATGCAAAAACTTTTATTTCATGATATGGATAGTATACTGAAATTTTGTTGCTAAATTTGCTACTTTTGATTAAGTCAGTTTGGCTGTCATCATCTTACTAAGTAATTTCTTTTCCATTTTTATTCCAAACATTTATTATCAAATTTTCAAGCACACAGAAAAGTTGAAGAATTGTATGAACACTATTATACACACCATATAGACTCAATAGTTATTAACATCTTGCTGTATTTATTTTATATCTGTATCTACATACATATAGGTATTTATTTTTTGCTAAAAGTAATTTATAGACATTATGACTCTTTACCCCTCAATATTTCACTCTGCATCCCCTAAAATTAAAAGCATTAGTCAACTTTACCCCAATACCATTATTTCATTCAGAAAATTAATAATCATTATCTGATAACTAGTCTATATTCAAAATTTTCCAAACTGATTCTAAATCATATTACATGGATTTTTTTTTTCTTTTTTCAACTAGGATCCATGAGGGCTTCTACATTTTGTTTGATTGTTAGGTCACTTTTATTTCTTTTCCTCTACAAAAGTCCCCACAGAAACTTT